TCGGTTTTTGCATTCTGACTCGGTAAAATAATCAGTGGAATTTTAATGCCGGGTGCGACAGACCTATTCCCGCTATGCTCGTGAAAATTTAAATTACAGATCTCGACACATTTTTCAGTTTAAGTGAATGTTACGATAATCGCGCTATTTATAATGGGACACGATGGTTCGAATATTATTTTTTTTTGTTCGTCCCGCGAGAAGCGGTCGAATTTGAGGGTACAGCGACGCGCTCTCCTAAATTGTTAACGGTCCGAAATGAATTCATGGCTGCGTGATGAAAAAAATCGTTGCGTATGCATTGAATATGCAAATAAATTCCGCTGCGGCTCCCGCGATCCGTATCTTTGCTCTCGAGTCCTAAAAATATCGACATGTCCACGTGATTATTGACAGTAATTTCCCAAGCGAATTGTTATCTCGCATTCGAGTAACCGCGGTTGAAACTGGCGTTACGAGAAACAGCGACGGAGGCTGCGAGTCGCAATTTTTATTACAACGTCGCCGGAATGGTTTATAAACGTTTTACGGATAAATGTTTGAGAGGGAAAATTAATTTGCAGTATGCCAGGCATTTTCGAATTGCACTTAAAAGAGAAGCTAGAGATGGAAGGTTGGGAATTTGAGACACACCGAGATATGACTTTTGACCTTTTGAAAATTTTAAACTCCAATAAATTATGCAGGATATGCCAGAACTACTTTTTGCTTGCATATTGTTGAATTAATTTTAGAGAAAGATAACTCGTCAACGGAGAGTTATAAATGATATTTTGTACAACTGTTTACATCTCCAAGATGTACTCATATTTTAATAATCGCTGTCTCCATAGTTTGATTTTATGTATATGCACCACCGAAATTCTATAGAATGGAAGAGTGTAACGTAACATCTATTCTTTTTAAAACTTCAGAAGATTTACTTGACCATGTCCGGCAAATTTTTATGTTTAAACTCGCAACGTTTCGTCCATGGTTTGTGGTCGAGCGTCAGAGCCTTATGAATTTCATTGTTTTGCATATTTAGATATGAAGCGAAATTTTTAGTAAAATTATTAGTCGAATAAATACGACCGTCACTTACAAATGGATGACGGAGTCTTTGCGGAAATTTGCGCGTTGCCCAGAGTGGCACGGCACTCAAAGTGTTAATAATATCCTGGTGTTAATAATATCTCGACAAAAAAATGCGGATTCGTGCCGTAATTACGGGTAGCCATCGGGTGTACTTTAGTTAAAGTGATGGTCGCTGAAAAAGAACCTGGGCATGTCAACTTCCCGCGTTACCTGCGTAAAGGGCTCGGCCGTATCGTTAATTATTCGCGCCGGTCCGTTGTCCTGCGACGTCCATTTCCGGTTACAAAGGGAATCCCCCGTGTATATCTTGTCTGTTTGGATCTAGTTAACTCTTTGAGGGCGGCCGGGCCCTTTCGTTCGACAATAATTGACACATTGTTGTATACCAAACTGCGTTAGCCTAACGAGACTACGACTGTAATTGAACGGTGCGTTTGACAATTATTAACGAAACTGTTGAGCTGCTATCAATTACGTGACTTTTGCAGCATTTTCTTCGCCGTTTCTTCACGCCCGCGCTCTGTACTCGTTATTCAATAACGAATGGAAAATATCGATCACGAGGGAGCTAAGTGCGAAGTGGCGCGGATTATTAAAGGCAGAGCCTCGCCGGATTAAATCGAGAACTTTAAAATATCGCGGAGCCGACCTTCGCGCGCGCTTAACTTCAGTCTTGCCACGTCCGGCCCATAAATCGCATTTTCCGCGGCATTTCGAGCTGCGAACGGTATCCTTCGTCGCTGATTAGAAAACTTCGCGCTTCGCCGTTTCGCTCCGGCCGAGCCGTCCGCCCGAGGCCGTATTTGATTTGGCTTTAATGCGATTTTTCGCGGTAACAGCCGCGTACCCGTAACTACTCCCGGCAACGGCTCCGCGAAACCGAAGAGAGCGAAACGGATGGCGCGGCGTGCCGAACTCGATTATCCCGCCGTCCTCTTTCGCCCGCCGGCGAAGAAGCCGCTATTCTGTTAGCCTGCTCCGGCCTGAACTTGGATTAATCCCTTTAACGATAAAAGCACCCCCCGCCGATTTCAGTGCCGCGCGAGCCGCGATCGCATGGTGAAGTGCAGCGGAATCGACGCGAAATCTCTGGCTTGATAATGACACTTGGCGCGATTGACGGTAGTCGTATAATAATTTCCGCGTGTGTGTATTTGCGGGGGAAATTGAGCTTTGATTTGTCCTCGCTTAAAAGATTGGCCGGAGTTTATATTTAATGGGAATGACATAAGTCGTGATAAGATCGATGCGACGTTATCCGGAGAGACCGCCGTTAAAATTGACGTTCCATGACAGCGCAATCAATCACGATCGCTCTTTCTCGACACTATCGTGATTGCTCACGTATTTCTACGGATTTCTGAAAAGCCGGGGGAAGTCGTTCACATTTTATCACGCGTTACTGGAACCATTGCCTCCTGTTCGCGGGCACGAATTAGCGGAAGTTAGAAGACATCCACTGGTTTCGATAGTTCTTCTTCAGCGTTCCGTCGTGCACTTGTGCGAATCCCCCCAAAAACTTGATTTACGACGATAAGCGCCTTAACGGGAAGGGGGAGACTTTGGTATTTCATTAAGTCGAATCGCGTGCTCGACTAGAATTGTCAACTTGTTGATAAACTTCGATTCGATGACGGTTGGTAGTTCAGTTTATTCAGTTCCACGATAACGTATCGGCCCGCGGGTATTGCCAAAGTGTTAATAACGAGGTCGAGACGGCGGTCGACGTGCACTCTCATCTTGAGTATTATTCTGGCGACTACGTGAATGCGAGAGGGCGAGGAAAGAGAGAGAACTTGCGCCGTGATAACGTTCAACTGAGTCGACAGCGGGTTATCGCGGGGCGATATCTACGGTGGCTAGGGGGGAAAACTTGACTTGTGCTCGAAACGAGGCGGACACCCCGTGGCAGCGCAATCGATCGTGCTCTTCCTTCGCGCGTTCTCCGCGACGCGAGATAGCGTGCAATCGCGGGATGCGTGAGAGCCGTGTGCCACGTATATCGATTTCTCTCTCTCGAGAGAGAGGAAGTTCTTCCATTCATATACGCCGCGCGATATCGCCGGCGTATATTCCGAATCGAGAAAGAGGCTCGCCCCTTCCCGACAACGATCACGATTCTAATCTTTTTACGCCTCCCGCTCGATTTCTCGTCGTCCTTTATCGCTCCTCGGCGTCAACCGGGAAAAAGTCCACATGCGCGTACACGCTCGACGGTGACGTACACTCGTACACGACTCCACATTCTCCCTAGTCTCCTACGTCCCCCTCGTGTCTCTCCCAGTCAACTTTTTAATTTCTGTTTTTCTTTCACTTCCCTCGTACACGCACCTCTCGATACAAGCAAAAGTCTTTAATGATATGACGATGACCGTATGACATGATACGATATGATATGATAATGAGATGATTAATGTGACCATGACCATGATTTCTTACCATGATTTTTATATTTACTTATTTGTTGCACGTTGTTTGGTGCGTCTCCGTAAGCAGTATGAGGCGCTCGCAGACCCCCTGGTCGTCGACATTTCGAAAATGTGCCCCCTATTCCTTGAAATAACGAGGGACTCAACGTGTGATTGTCCCCGCGATTCCCTCGACTATTCTAAAAGCGACTCTTAACCCTTTCAAACCCTCGGCCCGAAAAAGGTAAGAACCGACGTCTCGCCGTCGATTCTATTTTCGTGCAGATCGCGAAGATCAACGCCGCTCGGATCGCTAATCGTTTCGTTCATCAACACATATTTACACATATAATTATACAGCGATCAAACTTTGGCGTTTCAAATATTTTGACGCTTAATTTGTCAGCACTGGTCGCTGATCTAAGTCGATTTCATTGTCGTCCGATTATTTTTACGAAACTGAAACTCGGTTTTTGTTTCTGGGCAACATTAAACGCGCGTAGTTCTTGGAGTTCTGTCCTGAAATAATGAAGCGCGGATTACAGGATAAAAGAATGGATGGCTATTCGTTTCAGCTTTGCGGAATGAAAAGAGCGCGCGGGATCGACGGGAAATAACAAAAAACGAAATATCGAGGTCCTATGCCGCTTCGTCGCGTTCTCGAGGGAGCCTCGGGAATTAATTAGCGTGTCTCGCGCGATACATAACGGCCGGGGAGGGAGACGGCTATTGTGCGTCAAAGAAATAAATAGGGCCCCGGCTCGGTGGAGGAACGCCGGCAGGGCTGAGGGCGATGGAAGGGTTCAAAGAGAAAGAGAGGAGCACAAAGGAGCTGGCCGGTGTTGCCCGCGGCGGAACGGAAGAATCGAGTTTTCTGCGTCTTCCGTCCGGTCCCCAATGAGAACGGGATCGATCTCCTGTTCGATACTCCGTTGTCACGACGCCTCGAAGGTCCGTCCGAAGATCGGGAAGAGCTAGTAAACGATCAAGACGGAAGTGTCTCCTCTCGTGGTTCGCGGTTAAACGCGACGCAGCTACACACATCCGTGTCTTCGGACACGACGACGCGGGTCTTGATACGAATTTTTTTTTCCTCTCTCTCTCGGCACCGTCAAGAAAAATTCTCTCGGATTTTTTGGAGTACAATAAAATCGACGGAAACGCGCGCGCCCTTTGTCGCGATTAAACGGAATGAAGTGGTCGTAGCGCGAGACGGGGGTTGCTTTTCTCCACGTCCCCGATGTCGCGCCCCGACGAGCCTCCTCGGAGCATCCCTCCATACATATGTGCACCCCTTTCCAGTCCCCTCCGCCCCCCTTACTCCCCCACCCCCCCCCTCTAGTGTGTACATACATTATATGTACGTAAATGATTATATATATAACGCGCGCGCGTGCTACATGTGCACGCGCGTGCGGAGACGAAATGTCGGCCCAGCCAGTCGGCTTTTTGCGGAGCGCTGGCAGTCTGTAAGTTGAGTTTAATGCATGTTGTTTTGTCTGTCCTTGCATGCAGGGATTCGGTTTTGTAACATTCGCAAATAGTGCTGACGCGGACCGGGCACGTGAGAGGCTACACGGCACCGTGGTTGAGGGCAGAAAGATTGAGGTGTGCATGAACTTTCTTATACTTATATATATATATACATACATATATATATACATCGCCATTAATCTCCATTACGAATAGATGTAATCTCTTTTTTATTTCCAGGAAAGTCGCGAGTGGGCGCATTCCTCCGCGGAAATGCGCGCACTCGCGGCGTGAAACGGCGACCACGGTCTAAGACTCGACTCGATTACGCGACGTCAATCCGTCTCCAAGTACACGTTTCCGCGAGTCTCCGTCGAGTAACAGTGGTCGCCTGATAGATTTAAGTCGGGGCACTTCGAGTCCCGAGTGTTCATCTTCTGCGTTCATCGCGACTGTAAATTTCGCTGGCAAATTAATTAGGTCATTAACGACGAGCGAAGGTTGATTGTTAACTCTGACGCGTCGATAAAATGCCAGTGTTCACCGCGAACGTTTACTTCCATTCTGAAATGCGACAATGATATCGAGGAGAGAGATGGACATTCGCGATTCGAAGGTCATTGATCTAATTGTAGGAGACTACAGTAAGTCGTTGTGCGATCGAAAGAGACGCTAGGCTGACGACGCCGCTCGTAGACGCGATCGTTTCGCGCGATACGACTGCGATGTGAGCCGTCGACAGTCTACATCGCGATTCGACGGAGCTTTCTGTTCGAGGGGGGGGGGGGGAAGGGATAGTTGGCTGCATCGCGATAATCAACGAAACGTGAATTAATTTCACGGGCTCGAGAACAGAGACGGAGAAGGAGAGAGGAAGAGAATGGAGGGGACGATCTCCGGTCGCGGTGGCTCGAGAGAAAGAGATTTCTCTCGTGGCCTGGATCAATCTGACTGATGGGCCACTCGTGGACCCACGAGTGGCGCGCGAGCCGCCGATTGGCGAGGCTCGATCTCTGCTCGAGGGCCTCGAGTGATCCACAAATTCTGTTTTCCGATTGGCCGGCCAGTTCGCCGGTGAAAATCGGTACGCGGGAGAAAGTCCTCGTCTCGATCAGCGCGCGGATCGATCCGTACGCGAGATAGATTTTGCTCATATTACACTCGCGTATATACGTTCACCTTTTCTTCTCTTTCCCTCTCGTTGTTTCTCTGTCGCGGTGTGGCCTTAATCCATTCAGTTGCACACGTGCTCTCAAGCGAGGAATCGTAGCTCCACCTCTTATCATTGTGTCTCGAGCTCGGAGATTAGTCGAAGTAACTGTATCCCGTACGGTAGTTGATTTTGATAAGCACCGTCGAGTCGACCGAAGATAAACGAGGCGATCGGATACGGCAATCATTTCTGTCAAGTACTTGAAATTTTCATCGTGACACATAAAGTAGAAATATAGCGCAATGACGTAATTCAATTTCATACGTTAATAAATAATTTCGTCTATTTAAACCGGTAAACCGATCGATCGATAGTTTATTCGCGCGCTCTTCGTTTCCGCGCAAAAGTGTCACGCAGGATTCGGAACGTACTAAAATATGTATGGTTAACGATTAACAGTAGCTGTCTGTGCGCAGCGAAACAATTTCGCTTGCTGAACAATTTCAGATATTTTCGCCCGTGATACAGCCAATTCTCAACTTTGATTATCGCGCACAGTTTTTAGCTCTCGGCCGACCACACGACGACCGCAGCATCTGCTGTGTCGACGCTGATATCAAACAACAACGGTTCAGCCTAATTGAACAACTCGATTAATTATCTTCTCATAGTGGCTGGAGCAGCTTGTCGGGTTGCGCCAGTCTCGTACGTGTCGCATGAACCACCGCTTTAGCTTCATTTAGCAGCTGGCAAACGCGTCTTCGAAATATATTCGATACTACGCAAGTGCGCGCGAACGGAGCAAATCTTTCGATTATTTTATATGAAAGTCTATTCCACTTCGCTGCGCCGATAATTCACTCCATAAAACTTGGTGCAGCTGACGCAGAGATTTTGTTGCCATCTCCGTGTTGTTTTTTTTCCTCTTTTTCTTTTTACATCCGAGACTGCTGTCAATAGGAAGAGAAATCGCATCCGATAAGATAGCGCGTCTTCTTCCGTCGTCATTATATTGCTTTTCGGGACGTAATAGGATTATATTCTTGAATCACGGCTAGTGATTACTCCTTCGGATTTTTTCCGGTTCGATAATAGCGTCCGTTTGATCAGGCAGGCCTTCTTATTGCGACTTTAATGGCTCAATTAAAGCTTGAAAGCCCGACCTTTTTGCGACTCGCGTCGATTTACTGCGCCAGTGGAATTCTGTGATTCGCGATAGTTTCGCGAGTTCCCGCGAATTTTCCAGCGGGAGTTTCGCGAGACGGATGTATCTTTTTCTCAAATCTTGGAGTCTAAAATGTCACAAACGGAAACCGCACACGACAGAAGTTGTCGCCGATCTGTTCGCCTCGGGAGTCTTGGTAATACTCAAAGCGAGTAAAGAGAAACGCATCAGGGCTGCTTGCCAACGCGGATTCGGGAACTGTCACGCCGAGCTGTCGCGTTTTGAGTTCTAGCTACAAATCCGCGCTGTTGGTACTATCGCCCCGGTCTGAGATCAGTCTTGTTAGGCGAGAAAAGGGAAGATCCGCGTCGGCGGCGCCCCAGATGCAAAGTGAACGAAGTTGAAGGGGTGGACGCGCGCGAAGCAACGCGATAGTTGTCGAACGACGTGTAAACGAACCGCATACAAAGGCGCTGGAGAATCCGCTGGTTGGACAATCCGGCCGTTGTGTTGGGTTCGGTTACCATGGGAAAGAGAGTAACCAAAAGCACAAAAGCGGAACAAAACGAAAGACAATTGCAAAATACGGTCGTGTCTCACGCAGATCTCCTGTTGTTCTATAGAGAGCTTCTGCGCGAGAGAAAGAGCGAGTAAAAGGGTAGGAAAAGGGCGAGCGAAAGACTCGTACTGAATAGTCGATTGAAAAATCTGAGAGAGCGAGCGAAAGAGAAAGAAAGAGAGAGAGAGACCGGATGGTCGATCCGGTAGGATCGATCGATCGGTCGGGAGAAAGAGCGAGAAAGATTAACGGGCAAACGCTGATCGTGGGACACTGAGGGGGCCACTGAAAAAGGACCTCGCTAAGTGTCCGAAAAGGTAAGGAAACCATCGCAGCGGGAATCGTTTAACCGGCAAAGCAAAGACCGGACTCGTATGTGTATAATGAGAAATACAATACTCGCACTGCCCGCTCTCTCACGTGATACACGAGAACCGTGCCATGGTCGATTTTCACTGGTAGATTAAGCTTTTTGTTTTTCTCCCCCTTCATTTCTCTCCCCCCCCCCCCTTCTCGATTACTTTTTCACACTCGTTTTGCATTTTTAGCGTAAGTGAATGAGATTTTTAACAGCTTTTTTGTCAGACCACCTTTATCGGACAGAGTGTACTCCTACACTCTGCAGTGACGAAGTATTCATTTCAAGAAAGAAACCAGGGAAATTGTTTTAACAAGAGTTATAAATTTTATAGAAAATTGTGTCTCCGCGCCATAAAGAGGGTATTTTAAAGTTTGCGGAAGAAGCAGAACGCAATTGTTGTAAATACTTCGTCATCCGAATTTTTCTTTTTAATCGTCAGTTTCTTTTTGTTTAGTCACAAAGAGTATCTTCTTCTTCTTCTTCTTTATCTTTTTCGACCGGCACACGCGTAGCGCTTACTTTCTCCTAAAATAAAATCCTACTTGCGATATTTATAACGTAACTAATAAAACTATTATATATGTTTAGAATATATAATGCTAGCCTAAACTGTCTAGTTGTGTAAGAGCGTAGAACTCACCAAAACAAAGGCTCAAGTACTTTCGCAAGTGGCAATCGAGACAATCGAAAAACATGGCGCTAATTACACGCGATAATGGCGCGACAATGACGTTTCTTGTACGAGCAATTTGCATTTTATTTGTACCTTACGATCGAGTTTTTCGCGAGGAGGAAACTACGTATACAGGGGTACGAAAGATCTTTGCACCGTTGCCAATTAAAACGCGAGAGTGGTTTTAAAACGATTATATCTCGTACGTCATCACTCTCGTGTGACGTTTGACCCGTTTCACTTGAGCGCTAAGCACTCAGGCCCTTTGTTGAATTTTCTAAGAGCCGTCGTAGAGCAAGAGGTTAAAAAAGAGGCGTGGACGCTGAAACGCCCGGCCGGGGAATAACGAGATGGCAGGGAATAGTAAAAAGAACGAGCTCTAACGAGAATTCTTTTACGCGTAATTTTCTCGCGAACGTGGCGTAGCACTTTAATTGCGGAAAAGATTAGGGGGCGATCCTTTAAATTAGAGACCGCGCCTTTTTTCCGGGTTTTCGCATTAATTTCGAACCGGCCGAGTTCCAAAGAGAGATACGGAATAAAAATTCCGCGACGTCCGGGCTGAAATTTCCCGAAATTCACGGGGACCGATGTATTTATTGTGGCAATTACGGGAAGAAGGAGGGCTGAGATTTAAGAGGACGCACAATTAGCCTTTTGCAAATCTCTCGCTATGTCCCTCGAGGGAGAGAGAAAGGCACTTTATTAGTTAATCTCTCCTGAGAGACTTTTTAACTGCCGGCACAACTTTTTAATGTCCGGATCTCTCTCTCCCTCTCTCCCTCCCAAGCTTTAAATAATTCCGGACACTAATTCGATTCAGCGACTTTGGAAATTAGATCCCCGAGCAGGACGGAAGTTCCAAAATTGTCCGTTGATTGTATTGATTAGAAGTGCGATTTTACAGTTTTCTTGTTCTTCGAGATAACGAGCGGGCGATTCTCGATGGGGGTCGCTCTTTTACGGATCAGCGAGCGCTACGCATATTCGCATTTAACGCGCAATTTAATGCACGGGTCTGCACTCTTCGACGAGCGGAGGACGAACTCGTTCGTGTAATTTAACGTCGTATTTATTCGCCGTGCTCGTCATCGGTGCATTTCTACGGGATCGAGGAAACCGTTGGAACAAGTCGGGTTCAAATGAACCGAGGAAATTCATGAACATCGCAGCTTCAGAAAGCAGCTACGAAAGAAGTTCATCGTACGATGCATACATTATTGT